CGCAGGAGGAGTCCGCCCAGGAGAAAGGGAGGACCCCTGAGACCTGGGAAGTCCCAGGTGAGGGCAGCTGCTCACCGGGTGGAAGACTGGCGGCTGCAGGATGAAGCAGTCAGGAATCGGGTCCAGGTTTTCTCCAGGTGACATGAGGGGCAGGGCCACTCCTTTTGGGGCTGTGGATCCTGATTCCAGGGGCCTTGCTCCGCTGGATGGGCTCACCTTCCCCTGCCAGGTCCTCAGAGTCCTGGGAGCTCCCCAGCTGTTATTAGTCTCACCTGCGCTCTGCAGGGTGCTAATGCCACCTGGAACCCATCTGTGGGGCAGCGGGCCACCTGCAGGGCCACACCCGCCCGGCCCTGGTGAAGCAGGACAAAGCCTGCAGCTATGGCTGGACTGCAATTCTTGGCCAAAACTCTTTGTAGGGGTTGGACGCTGGCACTAAGCCACCATGAACAAGGAACTGGGCCCCTGGGTCTGAGGCACGTGATCACTTGGAGGGAAGCCAGAGGCTGGCCTCTTTGGGACTGGGAGGATTTGTGTTTTCGGGGCTCACCTGAGTCCTCACTGGGTCAGAGCAAGGGCTGGGACACGTGTGCAGGTTCCCGCAGCAGCCCCGCCCCCAGCTTCCTGGACAGCCTGGGGCGGCTTCCCATCCTTCCTCCCCTGGCCACGGAAGGTCTCATCTCTTTCCCTCATTTCCCTGCCCTTTCTCCACTCTTCTTTATCCAAGTTTTATGGTCCCCTGTGGCTTCATATCAGCAACAGCTGTAATGCCAAGGAGCAGCTGAGGTCAAAAGAAAAAAATAAGGAAGTGAGAAAAGGGGGATGGAGGCAGGCACCCCTTATCTCAAGCAAGGCAGCAAACTGCAAGGGGGAGCAGGTGGCAGCCCCTGGGAGACCTGGATTCTTGCTCAGCCACTGACCTAATGCACTGTGTGCCCTTGGGCAAGTCTCTTCACCTCTCTGGGCTTCCGTTTGTTCACCTGAATACAAACAGGGTGACCCCTGCAGTGTCTAACAGCAGCCCTGTGTCTGAGATTGTCCCAGACCTTGGTGTTTTAGGAGGGCCCTTCAGTCCTGCTTCAACCTTCAGGAAGACTTGCCCTTTAAACAGCATTTTATTCAGCCACAAAGGACAACAAAATTATCTCACTTGCAAGAAATAAATGACCCGGAGACTGTAATCTTGAGCAAAATAAGCCAGACCCAAAGAAATAAGTATCCATATTATTATATTGCCCATATTTTCCCTCACATGTTGAAGCTACAGGAAAAAACCAGGGGCCTAAGGACAGGGAGGCCATGAAAATAGAGGGATGGCTTGGCGTTCTCCCTCCCTCTCCCAACATGGCGCCTCAGCAAAAAAGAAGAATAAGAAGGGGAAGACTATCTCCCTAACAGACTTTCTGGCTGAGGATGGAGGGACTGGTGGAGGAAGCACCTATTCCCCAAACCAGTCAGCTGGGCTGATGAAACAGATGACCTGGAAGGAGATGTTTCAACCACTTGGCACAGTAATGATGATGATGTGTACAGGGCACCTCCAACTGACCGTTCCATCCTTCCCACTGCTCCACGGGCTGCTGGGGAACCCAATATTGACTGGAGCCGTCTTCCCAAATCGCCACCCTACACTGCTTTTCTAGGGAACCTGCCCTATGATGTGACAGAAGACTCCATTAAGGAATTCTTTAGAGGATTAAATATCAGTGCAGTGCGCTTACCACGTGAACCCAGCAATCCAGAGAGGTTGAAAGGTTTTGGCTATGCTGAGTTTGAGGACCTGGACTCCCTGCTCAGTGCCCTGAGTCTCAGTGAAGAGTCTCTAGGTAACAGGAGAATTCGAGGGGATGTTGCTGATCAAGCACAGGATAAAGACAGGGATGATCCTTCTTTTGGCCGAGATAGAAATCGGGATTCTGACAAAACAGACACCGACTGGAGAGCCCGACCTGCCACAGACAGCTTTGACGACTCTCTGCCTAGAAGAGGTGATGACAGCTTTAGATGGCTATGATTCCAACTGATATCGGGATGGATATGGAGATGGATATCGTGATGGCCCATGCCGGGATATGGATGGATATGGGTGCCGGGATCGCTATGATGACCGAGGCAGCAGAGATTATGATAGAGACTATGATTACAGGATAGGCAGTGGCAGAAGAGCATTTGGTAGTGGGTACCAAAGGGATGATGAGTACGGAGGACGTGGGGACCATTATGAAGACCGATATGACAGATGAGATGAGCTCCAGAGATGATTACTCTCGGGATGATTACAGACATGATGATAGAGGTCCCCCCCCCCCCCCCCGCCCAAAGACCCAAACTGAATCTAAAGCCTCGGAGTACACCTAAGGAAGATGATTCCTCTGCTAGCACCTCCCAGTCCAGTGGAGCAGCTTCTATCTTTGGAGGGGCAATACCTGTTGACACAGCTGCTAGAGAAAGAGAAGTAGAAGAACGGCTACAGAAGGAGCAGGAGAAACTGCAGTGCCAGTTGGATGAGCCAAAACTAGAACGGCGGCCTAGGGAGAGACACCCAAGCTGGCCAAGTGAAGAAACTCGGGAACCGGAACGGTCAAGGACAGGAAGTCATCACAGACTGGAACCTCAGCCACACCTGGCAGAAATGCACGAAGGAGAGAGAGAAGTCTCTAGAAAATGAAATACTCAATAAGGAGGAAGACTGTCACTCTCCAACTTCTAAGCCTCCCAAACCTGATCAGCCTCTAAAGGTAATGCGAGCCCCTCCACCAAAGGAGAATGCGTGGGTGAAGCAAAGTTCTAACCCTCCTGCTCCATCTCAGAGCTCAGACACAGAGCAGGAATCCCCCACAAGTGGTTGGGGGGAAAGTAGCTCCAGCTCAGCCATCTGAGGAAGGACCCACAAGGAAAGACGATAATAAAATAGATGGAATGAATGTCCCAAAAGGCCAAACTGGGAACTCCAGCGGTGGTCTAGGAGATGGAGGGAACAAGATAGGAAAGAGGGCAAAAAGGATCAAGACTCCAGATCTGCACCTGAGCCAAAGAAACCTGAGGAAAATCCAACCTCTAAGTTCAGTTCTGCAAGCAAGTATGCCGCTCTCTCTGTGGATGGTGAAGATGAAATGAGGGAGAAGACTACATTGAGTAGACCTCTGCGTCCTGTGCTTTCTCCTAGTCTCTCCACCCTGGAACATTTAAGAGCAAATCAAACCTCTATCCACACAAGACAAATAAAACTCACCATCTCCTGGAGACCTTTCTTAACTTTTTTTAAAAAATGAAATGAGATTCTTTTGCATGCAGCTGCAGCCTTTAAAGTATTGAAGTTACTGGAGAATCGCCAATGTAGCCAGAGAGACAGAGACTACAGCTTTTTAA